CACCCACACCCACACCCACACCCACACCCACACCCACACCCAAAAGTTACTGATGTTTTAGTTCGTTCTGTGGAAAGCTGCCGACTTGATCTTCGCCGTTGGGGCGCCAAATTTCAACCAAACTCTCAAAGGCCGTACTTCGAAGGCCATGAACGGCCAGATGTAGTAGCACATCGTCAAGAATTTGTCTCGTATTTCTTCACAACAAAAATCAATACTACACAATTACCAACGACGATCAGCCGGAGTGGGTGGTTCCAGCTCAGAATCCTCGAGTGCTCATTGGTAAGTTTTACATTTTCCTCAATATTTCAGAAATAATAAATTTTTGTTACGTTTTAGTTCACGACGAATCCACGTTCAGGAGCGGTGAGGTGTCGGCAAAGAGGTGGACTGTGGAAGGTCACACGCCATTCTTTTCAAAAGGACGTGGACGATCACATATGGTATCGGACTTTATCGTCCAACATCCCAGTGGACCGTTCTTCTCTCTTTCTAATGCTGAATTCACACTTGCTTCAGAAAAGTTTCCATCTTTGTCCAATCCCGATGGCATCAACTATTTCAAAAATTCGGCCAGTGCGGGGATCAATGTTGGAGTAGAAGGCTATTTCAACAACGAAACAATCTTAGCTCAATTTGAGCGCTTGTTTATGCTTCTTCCATTCAAGAAGGCTTTCGATGGTCATGTCGTGGAAATTGGGGTTGACAACGCTCGAACTCATGCAGCCAAAGAATATAGTATCAATGATTTCAGTGAAGGCATCGGTACGAACTGTCCGATCGATTTTATCCGTTACTTTGACGATGATGGCCAACTTGTGTCAATTTCTTGCTATTTCTTGGAAGGTGAGCACAAAGGAAAGTCGAAAGGCCTAGTCGAATTGTCGAACGATCTCAATGTGCCCATTAATTCGTCGATGAAGCTCGCTGAAATTCGCAAAACTCTCTCAAGTCATCCGGTCTTTCAGAACGTCTCCAAGTTGGAAATGCTGGCTCGTAAGTATCAGGTGAAGATCATCTTTTGTCCGAAGTTTCACTGCGAACTGAATGCGATTGAGGGTTTGTGGTGCGATATGAAAAGGTACGTCAGGGCGAAAACTGATCAAACGTTTCCGACCATGCTGCGCCTTATAACTCAATCCCGCGAGAATTTTGAACAGCGACACATTCAAATGAAACTTTTCCGTCGATTCTGGCGCTGTATTGAAGCATATAGTGAAGGTAAGTCTTATGGTGAAATTCTCACTTTCTTTTTCAGCCAATTATGTCAGTCTCTAGGAGTCTCTCATAGAAAAGTCACGAATAGTAAACTTTCATAAGCACATTTTCTTTCTTCTTTTTCCCCTCAATTTTCGCTTTTTTTCGAAAAATTCAAAAGTCTTGCACGACACAAAAAAAATTTTAAACAATCAAAAACAAAAAAAAACAGATCATCGATATGAACGAAATTCTCTTGTAGATTACTTTTCTTCCTGTTTCTCTTGTAGATTACTTTCTTTCTATTTCTCTTGAGTATCTTCGTTTTCCATAGAAAAGCAAAAAAATGCAGAAAAAACTCAAAAACTAATAAAAAAAAGCAAAAAAAATCAAAAACTTATAAAAAGAAGCAAAAAAAAATCAAAAATTTATAAAAAGAAGCAAAAAAATAAAAACTATAACCATGTATCATAAAAACAAGAAGTTCGCTTACTTCTCCGTAGTGCATTCGGCTCTACGTGCCGGAGAAGAGAAACGTGTAACTTTCCAGAAGTGAAAGTCGCATGGCCAAGAAATGCACAATTTTCAGCATTTAGAATAACTTTTCGTCACCTGATGTGTTTCGAACACAGTTTAGAGCCTCTTGATAGTTACACTGAATCAGTGGTAGATTGGAGAATCGTTCTTTCTTCGAGAAAAGCTTTTCGATTTTTCACAGCAAAACCAAATGACAAAACGAGCTTATACTATCTCAGAGGGCTCTCAAAAAGTGATTTTTAAGTAACACTCCCCCAGAAGATTACCCCCTTCAAAAATCCTAGATCCACTACTGCACTAAACTCTGAGCTCTTTTCTATCTGTATGAGAAAGTTAGAATTGAAAACAGGATCGAAGTTGACAACACTGAAAAACATGCACTTCTGTTTGCTAGTGTTTGGACCAGGTGATGAGGACTTTTTTTTCAAAGAAATAGAATTTGAAAAAAAGCGATCGATAACTTTTTTTGCCATCAAATGACGGTGCGAATGGTATATAATTGTTGGGAAAACATTTTGAAATGAGGAACTACATAGTCGTGCAAAATAGAGGTCTCACTGGATGGCTAGGTCGTCCTAGTCAAATTTCATGGAAGAGACCGCTGCGAGAAAATGAGCTGAAAATTAGTTGAATAGACTCAGTTTTTAATGCTGAATCCAAATAAAATAGTTTGAAAAACTTTAGATGCAGGAAAATAGATAAAATTTAGACTTTTCTTCATAATAGTCATTTTCTTGGTTTTTTGGACATCCCTCGTATTTTGAAGATTTTTCCTCCAAAAAACGCTCAAAAATGGATAAAAAGGTGGTATTTGTGATCAGCTCGACGAGCTCTATCAAACCATATATAAAAAAAGAAATTTAATTTTTTACTCGATTTTTGCATTTGGTGCACCTTACAATCTTTCGAGACCATGGATCTTCATAACTTCCAACCCATACAATCACTCCACCATATGTAATAAATTGATGACCAATTTCATATTTTGATACAGTTGATTTTAATTCACATTCATTTAATGATGAAATCATATGCTCATTCATAGTATCAATCTTAATCCATGCTTGTAAATACTTTGGTACATAATCTTTCTTATATTTTTTGAGTACTTTATTAATCGGTTCGTGATCCATACATTTATTAACTGTTCGATTTCCATATGAATCAATAAATATTAATGAACGTGATTTTAACTTATTTTGGATTTTCTTTTCAGCTTTCCATTGATTATCAAGAATATTTTCCATTTGAAACATTTGATTTTGAATGTTTTGAACTTGAGAAACCAAATCTTCATAAACAAATGAAGTTAGCATCGGAGAAATAACACTAGCTGCTGTCATATTATGTTTATCTAATTAATTAGTTATCTGAAAGAAAACTTTTACATATGAAAATACAGATATAGATGAATTGTGTCGTATTATCTTCAATCTACCTCTGAGTAAGGATTTGTGTGGTATTTTCAAGCATATAGGAGAATGAGCGAAAGAGAATACCCATTTTCTATGCCATGGATAAAGTGTTCTACGAAAGGCATATCTTAATTTAAGCACCAATAATCTCCGTTCGATATGAAAACTTTTTATTTAGCTATAACCTTCTGTCAGATCCTTAACAAGTTGATGTGTATAGATGTTTATTAGTGAAGAATACATACTTTCACACTCATGCCTTTATATAGAAAACTGTGCGTATTTATACTACTTAGATGTGGGTGTGGGTGTGGGTGTTATTCTTTTCCACACCCATCCACACCTACACCCATCCACACCCACACCCACACACCCATACCCACATCCACACACCCACACCCACACCCACACCCACACCCACACCCACACCCCCACCCACACCCACACCCACACCCACACCCACACCCACACCCAAAACTGAAGATGGATCTTCCAACGTTCATGAATATATTTTCGAACTAAACCTGGCAGTTGAATGGTCAAATAGTTAAGGCGAAGTATACAAAATATAGATTAAAATAATTTGAAGAAAATTCCACAAAATAAGAACGAAAACAATCATTAACACGAAAAGTTTATGTCAGTTCCGAATGTATATCAATGTGAACATCAACATTAGCACTGGATTGAAGACAAGAAACACTCTATTTATGAGTGATTCGAGATGCTCCTTCTGAACTCGTAATAGGATTTGATGGCGTCTTCGTGGAAGGCGGAGGTACTGGGAGAGATTCACCTGAAGTATTGAATGAAGTAACGCTATTAGTACCACAAGGGAATATTTTTCCACTATTCCTGACTGTATCAAGTTTACGTAGAGTCCTGTAGAGCATTATTCCATAAACACCCAATGCTCCAATTAGTAGCAGCACTGCATAGGTTAACAGGCTATAGCTGGCTTGGAACCACACGACAAGAATGATAGCCACTATACAGCCTATAATGAATATACCAGATAGTAAAAGCGTGCCATTATTTGTTCCAAGATAGGTAAGAATAGCCAGAAGAGTCGTGAAGAGACCAAGAAGACCAGTGCATACACCTAATTGATCCAAAACATCTTTCGTCGTTTGCTTGCTGACAATCCATCCATAACATTCAGCGAACACAGCACTCGTATTCTCTGGAAACTGAGCTGTATCCAGAGGATTACAGTGAAAGCTCACATGATTGCTGATGGGAAAAAGAGCTCTGCGACGAAATATGAAACAGTCCATCGGATATTTGGGACATTCCTCATCGGGAAGAACTGAAGAATTATCAAGGATACAGGCTTGAAACAACAGTACAGAGACAATAGAGAGAGCCGATGCACCAAGAGTACAAAGCCATTTATCGATATATCTCGTCGATTTGGTTAATTCGTTCGAAAACTCGCTATTCGCTTCGTTATTGCTCGCACCATTCGTTTTGTCCATCCGAGAGTCGTTGTTCTCATCAATAATGTCAACTTTTCTCGAATGAATACCTATGATTCGTTCTTCCACGAATTCTTTACCTTTTTGTTTTGAATTATGAAAGATCCCACATACGAAAATGAAGATAGACACAGTTATCCCTATCGGTATACAGAAAATGGCTGCAACATAGTCCGAATACGTCGAAACCATAATTTCATGCAACGTTGCCAATCTATAGTAATGTGTACACTGTCTCTACAAGCAAGATAACGAATGAAATTTATTGATAACATGACATCTCTCTGTCTTCATGTCTATTTCTCTCAGTTGGTAAAAACAATAAAACTCAGGCTAATGGTTACGAAGACCGTAAACGACCATATACGCCCGTTCACGACAACGTAAACGGTCGTAAACATCCGAAATACGACCGAACACGGGTTGTAAATCACTCGTATCGTAGGGACAGTATTACGGCCGCATCACGCCGTGCAGTATACGGCATATTACGACAGTCGTTTACGGCAAAACCAGACCGTGATACAGTCGTATCTTACTGAGTACAGCCGTATACGCTGCCGCTTACAAGTCACTGCACGAAAGCCACGACCGATCGTGCTCAATCGATAGTCTCAGATTTTGATGAAAGTTATCCCACTTTGTAGAGCAAATTCTTTTAGGTATAGAACCAAATTTTTAGACTTAAAGGTTGAACTTTAACTGAGATACGCTCATCCGACTAATAGCACCCAAAATAGAGTTTTGTTAATATGAGAAATTTTTAATCAATCTCTTGTGTAAGCTATTTTGACGATATCTCGTCACCAGTACGCAATAGAGCTCTGAAATTTTGACCAGATATGCATTTTGAGATGTGGAATACAACCATTATATTCAATAATGTCCATATCTTCAAAAAGTATGACTGAATTTTTTGAGGTCACCCCTGATTTCCCTATATATTAGGGTCAAAAGTAGCCTATCTTCATGATAGGCTTTCTCCAGATCAGCATGATAGAATTTGCTGTTTTTTTTTTCTCAAAGACTACTAACCTGCTACTACTTAAGTATGCAATCAAAACTTTGGGATCTTGAAATTTGCCTGGATAAGTGTTAGCACAAAATATCACTATCTTGTTTATGAGTCAGCCTAAATAAACCACGACCGATTTCCACAAAAGCTGCTCAAAAGAGGTCGTCCGATTTTGCTCAATTTAATATATATTGTAGAGACAAGTGTTCTAAGAATTTTGGCGCAAGTCGTTTGAAAAAATACTGTTCTGTTCTCGAGATATTGAAATTTTTCTGAGAGCACTACCGTCAAAAAAAAGTGTATTTTTTGTCATTTTTTATGACATCTGTATCTCATCAAAGATACATACAATTGACTTGAAGTTTTTACTATGAGTAGATATCATAATTGCGTATTACCAAAAAAAAATGAGTTCAAATGGATAAACTATTAAAGAGTTGCGCAATACTATCAAGTACATTGGAAAATAGTCATTTTCCAGTATTATTGTGCATATGCCTATCTCATGAAGGAATCGTGTTAGCGAGTTGAAATATTGGCTATGAAGAGATCTCATTGAGTACATAGTCTAGTAAAAATTTCAGCTTTCTACATGATTCCTGCCGCTCAGAAGATCTTCCACAAAATGATGATTTTTGACCAAAATCATCATTTTAGGAGGGTCCTATCTCCACTGCTAACACTTGAATGGAACCCGGGTTGGTGTGGTTTCAGAGTACACATTGAGTACTACATAGTTATGTAACAATTAGGGTGGAATCTCAAAGAATGGTCCTAGGAGACTTACTGAAAAATACAAAAAAATGAGTCCTATTCTATAGGCAACGTACCCAAGTTCGCTTAGACATTACTTGAAGAGCTTCATTATATCAGGTAGATTCTACCTATTGTAAATCAGCAAATGATCCCCTATCCCGTTCCATAAGAATATCCTTTCGAAACGAAAAAAATGTTTTTTCGAAAAATTTTCGTACCCCCTCTAGGTCTTTTAATGGAGAATCTCGTTCTATAAATCCCCGTATCCCTACGGGAATTTTTTGAAAAAATTTTTTTTCATTTTGAAAGAATATTTTTATGGGGGATGATAGAGCATTGCATGTTGATTTACCCTAGGAGGAATTTATCTGATTTGATGAAACTCTTCAAGTAATTCCTAAGCGGACTTGGGTACGTTTCCTATAGAATAGGACTCATTTTTTTGTATTTTTCAGTAAGTCTCCTAGGACCATTCTTTGAGATGGGTGTGGGGTGTGGGTGTGGTTGTGTGGGTGTGGGTGTAGTTGTGTGGGTGTGAGTGTGGTTGTGTGGGTGTGGGTGTGGTTGTGTGGGTGTGGTTGTGTGGGTGTGGTTGTGTGGGTGTGGTTGTGTGGGTGTGGTTGTGTGGGTGTGGTTGTGTGGGTGTGGTTGTGTGGGTGTGGTTGTGTGGGTGTGGGTGTGAGTGTAGTTGTGTGGGTGTGGGTGTGGTTGTGTGGGTGTGGTTGTGTAGGTGTGGGTGTGGTTGTGTGGGTGTGGGTGTAGTTGTGTGAGTGTGGGTGTAGTTGTGTTGGTGTGAGTGTGGTTGT